GGGTCCTGCTGGAAGGGGAGGGGGGAGCGGGCAGGAAGCGGGGGGCCAGAGCCCCTCCCCAGTGTGTGGGACCACCGGGTTATTTTCCAGGGTCACCCCCTCATCTCTTTTAACGCGTCTGAAAATTACACCGGGGTGTGGGTATTTACTTATTTTTTATAATATACAAAATGAATCTATTACCAGCGAGTAGATACAAAATAATTAGCCATTTTCACGCCGTAAACATTGATCCGGGTGTGGTCGTTAACTGTGTAACTAGTTAGTTTTTTTTTAACTGCAATTGGCTTTTCAACATCTTGAGCTGCTGTTACAGTGGGGCCTTGACTTACGAGTGTCCCGACTAACGAGTTTTTTGCGATACCAGCTGTCTCTCGGCCGATTTTTTGCATTGAGTTGATAGAGTAATTTGAGTTAACGAGCTCCTTAATGAGCTCGGTCTCGGAACGAATTAAACTCGTAAGTCAAGGCCCGGCTGTACCTGGATATGTTTTCTGAAAACTTTCCAGCAAGGTTGTCATCAATAAACCACCTCTGAGTTTCGTTAGTTCGGCTTCTGGCTTTCGAAGCTGTAGGTGAGTGACACCTGGCGATTGTGGAGGCTCAACAGCCCCGTGTGAGGGCCGAGGCCTGGCTGCCAATCGGCGCCGAGTTCGTGCGGCGTCTCCGGTGCCTCTAATTGAGAGCACGCGGCCCTCGTCTGCCGATGGGTAGACGGGCTGCGCGGCGATTTCAGGAGAAAGAAGCCGAGTAAATGCCCGGACGACGGGTTATGACAGCTCTCCGGGCCTGGCTGGGACCTCAGGCCGGGTGCACCCCTCTTCGTGGACCTCAGGGCCTCCTGTAGAGGGAGGGCTGGGGGTCGGGAGATGATGGAGAGGATGCGGATGGGGTCAGGGAGAGGTCACGCGGTGTCTGCCTCACCTGTGCCCACTCTCCTCGCCCGCAGGTGCATGTGCCCCGACCGGGAATCGAACTGTGACGTCCTGGTTTGCAGGTCGGTGCTCAACCCCTGAGCCGAGCCAGCCGGGCTGGAATATCATTTCTTTTTTATTTATTTTTATTTTATTGATTTTTTACAGAGAGGAAGGGAGAGGGATAGAGAGTTAGAAACATCGATGAGTGAGAAGCATCGATCAGCTGCCTCCTGCACACTCCCTACTGGGGATGTGCCCGCAACCAAGGTACATGCCCTTGACCGGAATCGAACCCGGGACCCTTCAGTCTGAGGCCGACGCTCTATCCAGTGAGCCAAACTGGCTAGGGCAACTGCAGACACATACACGTGTGCACATGGGCGCACACACCCCTTCCCTCCGTCCTGGTGGACGAGGGTGTGCAGGGCATGTCAATAGCACTGCACCCTGGCTTTGTGGAGGTCAGCACACGCCTCATCCGTCCCAGACGGGAAGGTATGTGTTGCGCTGGGCAAGTGCCCGGCGAGCTTGCTCCCTGCTGGGGCAGGTCCCGGGCGGGTGTCTGGCACGGCCCCTGCCGGCCCGTGTGCAGGCGCGGTCCCTGCGGAGGCCCGGCCTGTCGGGGCACGCTCACTCTCCCTGCTCTCGGAGCTGCCTCGGTGGATGAACATGCAGGTGACGGAAAGTCACGCGTGGAGGGTAGCGGGGCGGAGGGATGGGCTGTGGCTGCAGGAGAAGGACGTTCCGGGGCCGCAGTGGCCTCAGACGGCTGCCCTGCCCCCCTCCTTCTCCCCGCGGTCCGGGCACGTGCCGGAGGCAGCCAGTCGATGTGTCTCTCTCACCACGATGTTTCTCTCTCTCTCTCTCTCTCTCCCCCCCTCCCTTCCACTCTCAAATATATACATTTATATATCTATAGACATACAGATACATAGATACGTAGATATGTACTAGTAGATGTATATATATAGGTATATCTATATAAAGGTAGACATATATCTACATCGATAGATAGAGATATAGAATGTGATTCTACGACTCTAGAGAGATGTACCCTCAGGATGAAAAGAGCTAAAAAAAATGAAGACAGGTTTGCCGGACCGTGTGCCATGAGCTGTTGGTACACAGCGCGCCGGGCCCTCGGTGACAAGCACGTGCCTGGGCGCGCGGGGCTGCCGGGCGGGCGCAGGTGCACAGGAAGGCCTAGCGGTGCCGGGCGAGCGGAAGGGTCCTGGGGCGCCCTTCCCCCCTCATGGAAGCTCGATGACTCGGCCCCCACCCTTCTGGAATATTTCTCTGCGCAGAACCGATACCTGTCCCCAGGGCCGAGGTGGAGATTCGTTTTTCCAACAGCCCAGTGTGCAACCATCGTCTCGGCGCCAGCCGCCCAGACCCTGCCCTGGGATGCCCGAGCCAGGACCCTGCCCCCTGGCAGGCCATGCAGGGCGGCGGTGCCGGGGCCAGAGGAGGGGCTCGGTCAGGGCCTGGGGCCCCTCCCTCTGAGCTCGTTCGGTTCAGTAACTCGGCATCGTTGTCCCTCTGTCCCTCAATCCTGGGGGGCGGTGGCTGCTCCCCGCCCGGGCTGCCCCCCGACTTCTTGGCGTTTCTTTTGTGCCCTGTCTGTCGCCCGGTTCACACTGGATATCAAAGCCTCTACGTTCAAAAGCTTGGGGAGTGTCTGGCGTCTGGAAATCGGATCCCGGCTGATTCATCCGAGTTCCTTTCTCCACGTTCTCCTTTAGTGATCGCTCAGCAGAACGGTTTCCCGAGACTCCGCCGACCTAATTAGATTGCGGTCGACCTGTGTTCCTGAGGGTTTCTGCTCCAGGCTCCCCGGCGGACTCTGCCAGGCTCCCCCCCGATATGGGAGCCGTACCCCCTTCTCCCCGCCTCCCCCCTCCCCCCTGGGTCCCCCGCAGCTACAGCGGGGCACTTCCCAGGAAGGTCGCTCATTCTTCTGCTGGTTCTTTCTTTGGCTTTATTCTGGGAGGGCGACAGTGTCCGATCTTATTTTCAAATCCTATGTTCCGTATGCCACCATCTGAAAAAATGTCCTCCCCCTTCTCCAGGGGGGTCATGGGCATCCAACCTACATCTGTTTCTCAAAAGGTGGGAGGCAGCTTATCAGAAAAAGCGTGCGTGTGACGTGCAAACACAGATTCAACGAGAACTGGAGTTTAAACATCGAAGGCCAGCCCTGGCTGGTGTGGCTCAGTGGATTGAGCGTCGGCCCGAGGACTGAAGGGTTCCGGGTTCGATTCCGGTCAAGGGCACGGGACCTCGGTTGCAGGCTCCTCCCCGGCCCTGGTCGGTGCACATACGGGCGGCAACCCATGCATGTGTCTCTCTCATATGAATGTTTCCCTCTCTTCCTCCCCCCTCCCTTCCACTCTCTCTAAAACTCAGTGGGAAAAATATCCTCCCATGAGGATTAACAACAACAGCAATAAAAAAATCTAGGGTCAGATGTGACTTTTTTTGTCAGGGAGGGAGGGAGGGAGGGAGGGAGAGGGAGAAAAAGAAGAAAGAAGTGGGTGCAGAATTCCAGGATGAAGGGGACCTGCCACGCGTGTCCTGGCCCTCACGGCCCGGCCCTGGGTGGGTGTCCCCTCCTGTGCTCCGGGAAGTCCCCTCGTGGCCCCGCACAGCAGGCGTGGCCATTGCTGACCGAGGGCGGGGCCTGCCCCTTCCCAGCAGCTGTGTTGACACTAGACCAGGGAGCCCGTGTTTGGACACGAAATCGCGTCTGTCCCCGCGGCCGAAGCCAACCAGGAAGCGCGATAACACAGAGCCTTTCCTTCTTAGGAAAGACAAACATCTTCTCGCCTTCGCACGAGGCCAGCACGGCGTGGACTTTCACTTAAAGGTCCTCGAACAGCCCGTGCGTGGCTCGGTGCTCGCGTGTGGCTCGGTGCTGAGCGTCGACTGTGAACCAGGAGGTCACGGTTCCGTTCCTGGTCAGGGCACGTGCCCGGGTGGGGGGCTCGATCCCCCGATCGGGGCATGTGATGGAGGCAGCCAGTCGATGTTTCTCTCTCACGTGGATGTCTCCCCCCACCCCCACCCCACTTGTCTCCTTGTCTCTCTATAATCAATGAAATAACATAAAAAGAACTGCTCTCTCCCCTACCCCCCCACTCCACCCCGGTAACCCCAACCCCAAGGCCCTGAGACACAACAAGTCCTGGTAGGAGCCCCTGCGTTCGTGGGGTGGGGGTGGGGGGTGGCTTTTGTGCAGGAATGTGGCTGGCACAGCCCAGCCCGAGGAGCCGTTTGCTCAGCGTCCTGGGAAGGCATTTGCCTTAGTCATTCTTCTCACGGAGCCACACCAGCTGCCGTGGCTGCGCTTTCAGTTTCAAGGGCCGCACACCGGCCTGCGTGTGTGTGGAGTGTTCTCGCCCTGGGGCCTGCCGGTGGAGGCTTGAGCCGAGATAGACAATTCCCCCCTTTAAAGGGGTTTTAATTACGGCACCGAACGCGTTGCCTAAGTGCTCATCCGTGATAATCACGACCAGAGAACTCCTTATCAGTGCGGCGTAGTCATTTGCTTAAGTGATTTCAATGTGATGTTTGTTAATATGCATATCTTATTCCAGGGAGGCAGGCGGGAATGGAGAGAAATGTTGCCTTGCTTCGTACTGAGGATCCCAAGCAGTCCCTTCTGTCTTCCTTCCCTCCTTCCCTCTCTCTCTCCTTCCCTCTCTCTCTCCTTCCCTCTCTTGCTCCCTCCCCCCTCTCTCCCTCCTTCCCTCCCTCCTTCCTTCCCTCCTTCCCTCTCTCTCTCTCCTTCCCTCTCTCTCCTCCTCCCTCCCTCCCCCCTCTCTCCCTCCTTCCTTCCCACCAAGGCCTCTTCAATGCTTCTGCATTTCATAACCTCATCGTATCTGAAAGCCGTTTCTATCCGTTAGGCAATGTCTTTCTTAATCTGTAATTAATTCCGTCTTCCCCCCGCCCCCCTGTAACCCTTAGCGGCTTGCGGGCACCAGGGTGGGGACCGCTGGCCAAGTCGAATCTCCATTTATTTCTTCTCTCAAGGACCAAACCCGTTTGTCTGAATCACGTACAATCACAGGATCGAAGAGACTTGAGCCTGGACGCATGTTTTCTGTCGCCTTCATTCCCTGGAAGGCCCTGCAGGTCGGCCTCTCCTTCCCGAAGGCCCTTCCCTCTCCCTTCAGCCACCGATGGCGAATCGATGCTGCAGAATGAGCGATCCCTGCAGGTCTGTCTCCCTAGATGGTTTGTTTAGGGGCAAACAGTGATTCCCTCTTCCTGTGCAATCTGCCGTGAGGACGTCAGGATCATAGCAAGTTCTGTCCGAAGCTACGGCCAAGAAGAGGGGGCGGACAGTAAGAGAAAGGACTTATGGGACATCTCAGAGTTCAGACCAGGGTCACGGAGATTTCAGTCACACTACATGGCAGACTCTTTTTAAATATGTTTTTATTGATTTCAGAGAGGAAGGGAGAGGGAGAGAGAGATAGAAACATCCATGATGAGAATCACTGATTGGCTGCCCCCTGCATGCCCCACACTGGGGATCGAGCCCGAAACCCGGGCACGTGCCCTGACCGGGAATCGAACCGTGACCTCCTGCTTTGTAGGTCGACACTCAAAGTGTCGACCTACCGCCAGGGCCACCTGTACTATTTGTAAGTGTACACACAGTTCAGTGGTAGGAAGTACCTTCACCTTGTTGGGTGATCATCACCACATCCACCTGCAGAACTTCTTCACCTTGTGAAACTGAAACTCTGTCCCGTTAGCCAGTACCTCCTCATTTCCCCTCCCCCCGGGCCCTGGAGACCACAATTCTACTTTCTGTGTCTGTGAATTTGACTATTCTCAGAACCTCATAGGGGTGAAACCACAGCACATGTGTCCCCTTGTGATTGGCTTATTTCGCTTAAGAATAAAGTCTTCAGCCTCACCTGTTTGGCTCAGTGGATAGAGCGTCGGCCTGCGGACTCAAGGGTCCCAGGTTCGATTCCGGTCAAGGGCATGTACCTGGGTTGCGGGCACCTCCCCAGTAGGAGGTGTGCAGGAAACAGCTGAATCGATGTTTCTCTCTCATCGATGTTTCTAACTCTCTCTCCTTCTCCCTTCCTCTCTGTAAAAATCAATGAAATATATTTTTAAAAAAAGAACAAAGTCTTCACGAGGTCATCCAGGGTGTGGCATGTGTCAGCATTTTCTTCCTTTTCAAGGCTGCATAGTATTCCATCGCATGAATAGACTACACTCCGTTGATCATTCATCTGCTGACGGACCCCTGTGTTGCTTTGGCCTTTAGGCTATTGTGAGTAATGTTACATTTCAACATTAAAAGATGAAACATAATTTAATCTGTCTTGGATAGGTCAGGACATTTTGAACCATTTTCTAGTAGAGAATTAGGGTAACCTATAGTCACGTATCAGCTATACTTGTATCATTAACACTTCACCGGTTGGCGATGTAGTGCAACATATACTTCTGCGTCTCTGTCGAACGGATGATACTAATTCGACTTTGGTTCCAGGGTTAAGAATGAGATCAGAGGTGAGTGTACCTTGTAAAAAAAAGGTGTGGATAAACGTTAGTAGTTAATAACCAGAATGAATTCTGGGTTTTCTTGTCTGCCTTCTGGGGAAGCAGACGTTGATGGTGGAGATTTTCCAGAATCACGTAGTCCTTCCAGAAATTTCCGACGCTTGACACTCTTTTGCGCACCCACGTGACCTGCAGCATCTCTGGCGCCGCCCACGGGATCCACGGTCCTGCGTGGACTCCCCTGTGGAACCCACGTAATTGTCCTGGAGGCCCTGTTGCCGTGAGCCCTGATTCGGGCCTCGATCTTGGACCAACTTAGCTGCTTGAGACCAACCCCTTCCCAGGCAGTGGCTTGGGATCGATTCCTCCCTTCGCGCAGCCATTTACTCGGCGACTTGCTCCCACCTGACCCATAGCCGTCTGCTCAGCGTCTCCCAATTGATCGCCTCCTCCTCCAGCGCCTTCCTTTCTCAGGTGGAGGCGCGCACCCCAAAGACCCACGCGTGGGGTTCAGTGAACGAACCCACTCAGCCGGTGCCTGGTGCACGCTCGCCCTGCTGGGCCCGCATGCGCTCCTGTGGGTGAGTATCCCCGACTCCCAGCATCCTTAGGCCCCGTCCTGGGTGCTCCTGGGGGCCCGGCGGGCGGTGTGTGGATGTGGGTGGGCCTCTCTTTGCTCCTTTCCCCAAAGCTTCAGGAATCGCTGTGAAAAGCCGAAATCCTGTCGTCTGGCGGATTTGGGCCTCGACGGATAGATGGCGGCATACTCTCTCTCTCTCTCTCTCTCTCTCTCTCTCTCTCGGGCTCGGGGTGGAATAAGTTATCAGAACCGGCTGTGGGGCCCTAGAGGGCAATGACTGTCATTTTAGCCCGAAGGCCTGCTTTCTTGGACCCCCGGCTCTGTAGCTTTGGAAATGGGAAGCGTTGCAGCCCCTGCCTGAGTCGTGAAATAAATGCCATGTGCGGGGTGGGGGCGCTGCTTGGGGCTCCCGCCCACTTCGGCTCCTTCCTTAATGGGCAGACCCCGGAATGCATGATTCACCCGCCACGGGTTCCACCCCTGCCCCCTGTTGCTTCAAAACGTGGTTGAACTTGGCAGAGCCGGGAGGGAGCCCCGAGCAGCCACTGGCCCCGCATTCCCGGTCCTCGCCGCCCATGAGCTCATGCGGGTCAGAGGGGCCGCCGCCCGCTGGGGCTCTGCCCGGCTGAGTCACAGCCGACTGGGGAAATGCCACCCAGGACGCCCGCAGTTCCCCCTTTTCTCAATGGGGGTTGGCAGCTGCAGGCTCAGAAATCGGACTGGTCGGGGTTGGATTCCGTGGATAGAGCGTCATCGGCCTGCGGACTGAAGGGTCCTGGGTTCGATTCCCAGTCAGGGCAGGTGCCCGGGTTTCGGCTCAGGCCCAGTGTGGGAGGCTGCGGTCCATGGTCCGGGGTGTGGGGTGGTCCCGGGGCTGCTCAGAAACAGCTCTGGGGGCGTTAGAGCTCGGCCTGCCCGGGGGCCCTCGCCTGCCCCAGATCAGCTCCCACTGGGACGTTTCCTGGGAAGGAGGAGGGTCCTGCCAAGGGCGTGTCTCTTGGAGCTCAGCCCCGCCAGTGTGTCCCGCGTCTGTGCCATGTGGACACGGAGTCCGTGTGCCTCTCCCCCCTGGTGTCGCCGGGCCAGCTGGACACCACTGTCCAGGGCGGCCGGGCTCAGAGCCAGACGCGGAAATGGTCCCCGGCCTGTCATCTGCCCTTCCCGGCGATGACTCACGTTCCCCTCTTTCCCAGGCCGCCTGGGAGAAAGTTTCTCTCTTCCTCCCTCACACACATATGCACATGCGCACGCACATGGCATGCACGTGCGCGCACACGTGTATATACACACGCATGCACGTGCGCCTGCACAACCTTCAGTAAATTTCTTCCCAGTGGACACGGCCCCAGCCCATCACGCACGGTCTACGTGGCTGACTGGGGCCCAGCTGGCCCCGCTTAGGTGCGAAGGGCTGTGAAAGGTGTCGCTGAGTGAAGTTCCCCCGAGGACTCAAAGGTCTCGCCTGTGACTAACATTGACTTTATTATCTACCAGACGCCCGATGCACGAGATTCGTGCCAGGGGCTCGGCCCTCGCAGCCCCGATTTTCGTGGGGATGGTCGCCCGATAGGACGTCCAGAAGGTTGTTCGGCTGTCCAGTCTAATGAGCATATTAGGCTTATATCATTATTATGGATGTGCAGGGTTATCCCACTAAGGGTGATTGGGGGGTGAGCAGTGAATCCGGGCTGTGTTTCTAGGTCTGCACAGACGGCGATGCACGTTAGTGTCGGCACTTCTGGGCGCCAGCACTCACCACGGAATGCCAGCTACTCTCCAGGGCTGTGGCTCATGAACTTTAAAAAAATTTTTTTTCCTTTATTCACTTTTATTTTTAACATATATTTTAATTGATTTCAGAGAGGAAGGGAGAGGGTGAGAGAGATAGAAACATTAATGATGAGAGAGAACTATGGATCGGCTGCCTCCTGCACGCCCCCCACTGGGGATCGAGCCCGCAACACGGCCTGTGCCCTGATGGGGAATCGAACCGTGACCTCCTGCTTCCTGGGTTGATGCTCAACCACTGAGCCCCGCCACCGGCTCATGAGCTGCTTGATCAGCTGCTGAATCGCCCCGGCTCCTCTCATTACCATGGACTCCTCTGGGTCCTGTTGAGTTGGGGACGCACTGTAGGGAGGTATCAAGGGATGGCTCTAAAGTCCCAGGACTGGACCGAATCGGCTCATCAGGACACGTGCGATCTGCAGAGATGCGTGCGGAGGAGGCCGCCCGTGTACTCCCCGGGGCTCCTCTGCTGGGGGCGGTCGGGCCTCTTCACGGGAAGATGCAAATCGCGCTTGCTGCTTGGGATCCGCTGTGAGTGTCCGACGAGGCGTGAAGTGACCGAGCTTCATCTCGCGCCCTTTTCGTAACTCTTGGCTCTCGGTGATCATTGCCGATTTCCAAAACACGGATATGTCTTAAAAGAATGACAGTGTTGCACCCTAGCTGTCTTGGCCCAGTGGATAGAGCGTCAGCCTGCGGACTGAAGGGTCCCAGGTTTGATTCCGGTCAAGGGCACATGCCTGGGTTGCAGGTTCGATCCCCAGTAGGGGATGTGCAGAGTCACAAAAACGTGACTCTGTTTATGGGAAGTCTGTCCGGCTCCCTGGGTGTCTGCCGCTGCGAAACAGGAACTGCATGTGCTCTGGGTCGGGGGGCAGGTGCGCTGTGCCTTGTCCCATGCTGTGGGGAGCAGGATGTCACAATTGCTACTCTGGCTCCTGGAGCGTGACTCGTGTGGGATCGTCCTCAGCATCTGCCGTTTTGGAAACGGCTGTGCACTCAGCAGAGGCGATCTAGAAGCCAAACCGCAGAACCACCCTGGGGCGCCTCTGAAAGTGTGAGGCCACCACGTGACTGGCGTCTTCGTGCTTCTCGGGGAACTCTGTGGCCCCCAGTCCAGCTGTCCCCGTGTAACGAACACACCCACACGGTGGCCTGTCGGTGAGCTGAGGTTCCGTGCCCTGTCCTCGGGTCTTCCCCAGACACTGAAGCTGATCACACACCCAGCTCCCAGTTA